GCTGCCGCACTCTCCCAGTCACGTGGTGAGCGTCTCCGAGTGAGTGTACTCCTCTCGCCGCAGGTGTAAATCCCACATACACACAGGCACTCATTCACTCACACTTGCCACAATGCGCATACGCACATCTTCCCCTCACCCAGCGTGTGTCTAGCAGTGCTACACCCGTGAGAAGGGCAACCCAGCCGAGCAGCGACTCCAGGCGTCTAGTGTGTTGTGGTGGCGGTGCGGGGGCTTCGCCCTCACCACGTGTGTGTGTGTCTGCAACACACACACATGCTCCTCGCGCACCCGCCTCGAGGACCAGCCCGCGAGGCCTGGGTTGTGAGAGCTGCTGCTGCCACGTGTGACGAGACCAGAGTCTGCCTGCCACAGGTGATAACTCTAGACACACCTGTTTACCGGTGACTTGTTGCACGGATCATTGCACCAGTGCGATTCAAATAAAGTGAACTCAATGTTGTGCGAGAGCATTGCTTTCGTGATTGACTCTTGAGGCTAGTGAGACCATGTGTGTGGCCAGGTGAGTGTGAGTGAGAGTAGAGACTATGCAAGTGAAGGTGCAGGTGGCGGTGCTGCTGGTGGTGGGGGTCGTCCTCATCGCCGGCAGCATCGTCTTCCAGAGGTGTTTCTCGAGGGTCTTCAACAAGATGCTCTCCAACAAGCTCCTCCTCGTCCCTGGGTCAAAGACGCTGGAATCCTTCAAATCTCCGCCCGTCCCAATCTTCATGCAATTTTATTTATTCAACGTGACCAACAGCGAGGCGGTGCTGGAGGGGGCGGTGCCAGTGCTGCAGCAAGTAGGACCCTACACCTTCGAGGAGAAGCAGCTCAAGTACAACCTCACCTTCAATGACCAGGAAGGCTCCGTTACTTATGTTCAAAATAAGACATTTTATTTCCGGGAAGACTTGTCGAAGGGTTACAAGCTGAGCGACCACGTGACTACAATTAATGCCGTAATGATGACATTGGGGGCTAAATTCGAGGCCCTGAAACCTGCCCTTAAAGCCCTGATAGAAATTTGGTTTGTACGTTTCGAGGTGAAACCCTTTATCACGAAACCAGTCGGGGAACTTCTCTTTTACGGCTACGACGAGCCCTTGTTTAAAGTGCTCGCGCCGATGACCAACGATCCTGTTCATGTTACAGGTAAATTCGGCTTCTTTTACCCGAAAAATAACTCCAACGACGGTACTTACACGGTGTACACGGGGGTGAATGGCATGGCCGAGTACCAGAACATCGTCAGATGGCGAGGGAAAGAGAATATCGAATTCTGGAAGGAGGACGCGTGGGGCGGCAACTCCTGCAATATGATCAATGGCACCACTGGCAACCAGTTCCCTCAGCCCGTGAGTAAGACTAAGCCGCTGCGGCTCTACACGGCGGAGCTGTGTCGCTCTATCTACGCTGTGTACCAGAAGGAAGTGAGGCACGGGCACCTCACCCTTTACCGCTATGTCCTGCCTCCTGAACTTCTCGCCGACAACCTAGAGAACGAATGTTATTGTACCGATAAGTTCACCTGCCGCGCCTCCATGATCAACGTAGCTCCGTGCAGGAAAGGAGCCCCTGTGGTCATGTCCACCCCTCACTTCTATCAAGGAACACCAGAAGATGCCCAGGAAGTGGTCGGTTTGAACCCTCAAGAGCACGAACACGAGACTTACCTGGACATAGAGCCCACTACGGGAGTCACATTCCGCGCCGCCAAGAGGATTCAGGTGAACATCCCTCTACGTCGATACAGCAACCTACCCACCTTCAGGAGCGTCCCGGACGTCATCCTGCCGGTGCTGTGGGTGAACGAGAGTGTGGAGGTGCCTCTGGAACGCACCGTTGCTCTCCATCGTACTCTCACCCTTCCTTTCACTCTCGTCGACGTAGCCACGGGGCTTCTAGTGGCCTTGGGGGCTACACTTATCTTGGTAGCCGCAGTTAAGGCAGTTTTAGCGCTTAGACACAGATCTTCGGACCCGAAGAAGAAGAAAAAGAGTAAAGGAGAGGAGAAGGAGAAGGACAAAAGCCTGACAGAGAAGCTGAACGATGAGAGCTATAACTGAAGAGTGTGTGTTCAAGTAGTTAATATATTTCAGTGCAGTGTTGACGTAGAGAGACGGCAGCAGCTGTTCATCAGTGCCATCTAGGGTGTAAAATCGCAGTGTTTCCTGTGTTGCTACTAGCATGGTTATGACGCGTGTGTGAACCTTTGACTTACGTAGTTCCTGGCAACGTGACTGTAAATAGATGAAGACTTTGTGCCCAAAGTACCCAACTCGTGTTATTGAACGGAAAAGTTATATAGAAACAGGATAGCGCGTAGTCTATACACACCATTTTTTGTTAAATATATAGATAAAACAATATCTGAGGCAAGTTCCCTTTCAGTTGTGGTGGGGAAGGACACAGGTGTCTCCAGGTCACCCGCTAAGGTTGCCACGCTTTAGAAACTGATAGTGACCTGTGTGTGACCAATATCAGAGATTGTGTGCTAAGAATGCACCGTAAAGTGAATATCAATATAGTGTCGTCCTCAAGTGTAGCTGTACAAGAGTCTATAGGAGCGGAATCCCAGCCCAACTTGATCAGTCCTCAACCATGTTTACTGATAGACAAATAAAGTTGTCTATCCTTTTAAGTTTCTTTATTTTCTTTCCAGTGTTGGGGTTATGGCCCACAGAGGCGGTCACACAACTGTTTATGTGTCTATAATTATTATATTTATTATATTAGAACATTGTACACAACATACTACAACCTCATACAAAACCCTACAATATCATACAATGTGCTATAGCCTCATACAACAAGCTACAACTCCATATAGGTCTTAATAGAATTCTTTGAATTTTTAACATCCCATTACATGGTGTATTTCAACACTTAGTAACGCCATACAACACATTATAACACTATACAGCCATATGACACACACAGTGCAGACCATTCACCAGTGAAAACTATATCAGATCTATAGTGGAGGAGCAGATCTAATATTGTCCTCAGCCTCATCAATTATGGCGTGGCGAAACGCCATCCATAAATACATTAAACTTTAAGTATTTCTGTGGTGCTACATAGCCTTCCAGGCTTGGTGCCTTCTGTTAATCATTAATGTTACTCCATATGTATCTTAGTCATCAACAAACGTAGGGATATACTAACAGGAAGGTTCGACGCGCGTCATTCATTCCCGGGGCGATATAATCGATGAGGCGCCAACCTGAACAGCACACACACACACACACCTCCCCCTATTCATTCGCTGCGAAAGATAATACATCAGGTTAGTGACGTTGGGAAGGCCTTGGAGAGCGGGCTGGTGTACCAGATGTAGAGTGCAGGAGTACTGAACACATCCTGCAACACTGCTGTTGCTAGACCCCCCCCCCCACTCCTCTCTACCCCTACACACACACACACACATACCAAGCCCTTTACAACCTACCTCAGCCCCTATATTGCACAAGGGTTTGTTCCGACACTTTAAATCTGCCTTTTAAGAAATGCAAGCTATCCATTGTCCATTGGAGAATAAGTTTGCTTAACAAATTCCCAGCTGCTAGCCTATTCCACCTGCTAGCCTGTTCTCTTATCGCACCACCTAGCCTCTCTCCATAGCCTATCCCAACTGAGGGGTCACGACGAGGACAGGGAGCTGGCGGCTTGTCAAAGGTCCCCAAATTTGTCCTGATGATTTTTCTTTCATTTAGGAACATGTTGCTCTAACTTCTTATCTCTTATCTGATTAGAATTGTTATATTTTCCGTTAATAATCTAAAAAAATACGTTGGTCATTTCATTATTTAATCTCAGCAGAGGCTGTAATTGTTATGTTCAACAACAGTAGTTGAAACTTGTTCGGGATCGCTTACCAATATGCGGGTTGAACAAACTGTCAGTCCCACGTAACTAAAAAATAAAGCCTAGAATAGTTCAATCAAAATCCATATCCTCAGCTCTATCCATAGCTGAGTGGGTAGCGCTTCTGCCTCAGACGCGGGAGGTTCGAGTCTCCTAAGAGCCCAGAGAAATGAAACTTAGAATAGTTAGGTTGACGTGATGTTAAAACTTTGCAAAAAATGCTCTTTGCTGTAACCATATCTATTGGATTCACATTTTGGAGGATCTCTATTGAAATTTTTGCATATTCGTGCGTATTCATTTGAAGATTTATATTTTTCTTCATATCTTTTTTTTTTTTTTTTTTTTTTTTTTTTTGAGATATATACAAGAGTTGTTACATTCTTGTACAGCCACTAGTACGCGTAGCGTTTCGGGGCAAGTCCTTAATCCTATGGTCCTGGAATACGATCCTCTGCCGCGAAGAATCGTTTTTTCATCCAAGTACACATTTTACTGTTGCGTTAAACAGAGGCTACAGTTAAGGAATTGTAATGTTATAAATTGTAATCTATATTGTAATGTTATGGTAATAAAAACATTACAAGTAGAAAACATGGCACAAGGAACTCAACATTATGGGACAAATAGCGGAAACAAAATTTAATAATTGGTTTTTGTTTGAACACAAAATACCAATTACGTTTTGGCAATTTATCTGTTATTGCTTTCCTGGTAATTAATTTCAAGCACAGCTTTGTGACGAGAGCTGCCAGGAGGGAGTTATATTCTGTGTGTTACAAGTGTTTCATAATTATAGGCGTCCATCAGTTATAGGAGACTATGGAGTTGCGCTCTGGTTGTCGGTCAATCCATTCAGAGCCAAGGGGATTGTCGGTCAACTCCCTCAGATCGAGGGAGTTGTCGGTCAATCCCCTCAGAGGGAGGAGGTTGTTGGTCAACTCACTCAGAGCGAAAGTGTTGTCGGTCAACCCCCCCCCCCTCAGATCGAGGGGGTTGTCGGTCTTGAAAATTATAGACGACACATTTTTGGGACCCACCAGAGAGAACATGTCTGGGCAGGGCCATTAGTGGCACTTGTGTCACAGTTTGACAACAACTGGGTCAAGAATCTTCAAGCATTTAGACAACCACTAACGAAACCTCTACATCTTTCCTCAATCATGGCGGCTATGTTTACATTCATTAAAACAGTTTATGAGTTCCGAAGCACTGAGAGGTTGTTTGTAACTAATAATAACCTTGGCTTGTGAAGTTGTGAAGGTCGTAAACTGTTTAATAAATGTAAACAGAGTACATTGACCTCCATGATTAAAGATAGATGTACAGGTTTCGTTAATGGGTGTGTAAATGCTTAGTGAGAATCTTGGCCCCAGTAGATCTATACGAGGATAAAAAGCCTGAAATCCCTTATCATGTACGTGTATGTCTTTATGTAATAGAAACAAGGTTGTTTAGAGCTGAATATGTGGATAGAGTCGAATATAAATTGGTAAGGTTATAATAGTTCAGCTTGTGAAGTGGATGGTCAGTGATTCTCACAGTCTTCTCTACTGTGTTGATGTTGGGCTGAAATACAGTAACAATACTTAATGCCTTGCAAGTGTTCTCTCTCTCTCTGTATCTCTCTCTGTCTCTGTCTCTGTCTCTCTCTCTCTCTCTCTCTCTCTCTCTCTCTCTCTCTCTCTCTCTCTCTCTCTCTCTCCTCTCTCTCTCTCTCTATCTGTCTCTCTCTCTCTCTCTCTCTCTCTCTCTCTCTCTCTCTCTCTCTCCTCTCTCTCTCTCTCTCTCTCTCTCTCTCTCTGTATCTGTCTCTCTCTCTCTCTCTCTCTCTCTCTCTCTCTCTCTCTCTCTCTCTCTCTCTCTCTCTCTCTCTCTCTCTCTCTCTCTCTCTCTCTGTCTCTCTCTCTCTCTCTCTCTCTCTCTCTCTCTCTCTCTCTCTCTCTCTCTCTCTCTCTCTCTCTCTGTATCTCTGTCTCTCTGTCTCTCTCTCTCTCTCTCTCTCTCTCTCTCTCTCTCTTCTCTATCTCTCTCTCTATCTATCTCTCTCTCTCTCTCTCTCTCTCTCTCTCTCTCTCTCTCTCTGTCTCTGTCTCTCTCTCTCTCTCTCTCTCTCTCTCTCTCTCTCTCTCTCTCTCTCTCTCTCTCTCTCTCTCTCTCTCTCTCTCTCTCTGTCTCTCTCTCTCTCTCCCTCTCTCCCTCCCTTCTTAAAATACAGTGGGAGTGCTGCCCTTTCCTTTTTTTCCTTCCCTTCCCTTTCCCTTTCTCCCTTCCCCCTCTCCTTCCCTTTCACCAACAGATCACTGTGACATTGGGTTACATGTTCCTCACCATATATGTTAAGGTTCAAGTGTGATAATGTTATCTTTCACTGTCACGCATGAGATTGGCTCAAGTGTTCTCTCTAGAACATCAGGGGCATCATAAAGTTTGTTGTTATTGCACATGAAACACATAAGTGGTTACTGGACAACCAAGTGCAATTGGCAGGGCTTGCAGATGCACTCTTGATATTATTAATACTTTAATAATGTTTTTTTGACCGAATGATGGTGGTGATAATCTATTAAGAGATTTTTTAAGGCTAAGTGTTTGCAATTATAGCATTAGCAGTCTAACTGGGTTGTACCCAGTTCAAGTCCCAGCTGTGTCTGGGTACAAGTGACAGGATGAACAACCCAGCGGGTTTTCTTCCTGGGGGAGTGTTGTACATGCTGCTATGGCGGTGTGTCCACTCACAGGATGAGTGGCGCTGTCCAATACTGTCACTATGGCGGTGTGTCCACCCACAGGATGAGTGGCGCTGCCCAATACTGTCACTATGGCGGTGTGTCCACTCACAGGATGAGTGGCGCTGCCCAATACTGTCACTATGGCGGTGTGTCCACTCACAGGATGAGTGGTGCTGCCCAATACTGTCACTATGGCGGTGTGTCCACTCACAGGATGAGTGGTGCTGCCCAATACTGTCACTATGGCGGTGTGTCCACTCACAGGATGAGTGGCGCTGCCCAATACTGTCACTATGGCGGTGTGTCCACTCACAAGATGAGTGCCGCTGCCCAATACTGTCACTATGGCGGTGTGTCCACTCACAAGATGAGTGCCGCTGCCCAATACTGTCACTATGGCGGTGTGTGAAATATGAATATTTTTACCAGTTTATGACTTTGGGAATAATTTTCACCGCATTTGCTCAAGAATTATATATTAATTGAATTCTTCCTCATTTAAGATTTGGCAGGAGTTGCTAGGCTCAGAATTACTTGTATGCTGTACGTGCTCAACTTTGTATCACAAATGGATGCGGACTAGTTGGGCGTCTGCTATATATCTCCTATTTTCTGGCAAGCTTCTGTTGCGTAAATAATACATATTTATATACACGGAAGTGTATATAATGTATCATGTGAACATGTATGTGCATAGATCTACTCTTGTATTAATTTACAAGGATTTACTGGGCGCAATTCCTTAACTGTAGCCTCTGTTTAACGCAACAGTAAAATGTGTACTTGGATGAAAAAACGATTCTTCGCGGCAGGGGATCGTATTCCAGGGACCATAGGATTAAGGACTTGCCCGAAACGCTACGCGTACTAGTGGCTGTACAAGAATGTAACAACTCTTGTATATATCTCAAAAAAAAAAAAAAATCCTGCTGAGTGGCGCTGCATGGCAGGCTGGTGGCGGGCCGATTGTAAGACATTCATGCCGTCTCCTTGGGCCAGCCTCCAGCTCCAGTCTTCTCTCTTCCATACAATGGGGAAC